GTGGATTTTATTAATGCACGCTCAGCTGATACTTTATTATGACTTATTTCATCCAGAACCAGCTGTTACATCTCTCTCTTTAAGACACCAGACTGTGGTAAAACACACAGTGCTGTTAACTCCTCCCCCTCACCGACAACGTGCATCTGTCGACAGTCAGAGGGCGGAGAAGACGACAAAGACGATGTCAGAAGCTAAAGAATTGACTGACAAGGTTCAGTAATGTGACTGTTCAAATCTTACTCAGCTAGCGTCTTTAGTTCGATGGTTGCTAACTGTTAGCATGTGGAGTATGTATCTGTGTTTTCAGCTGTTACCATGACGACTACAGGCCCTGGCTAAATGTCTACATTGAAGAGGCTCATTTACTGCATGCTAGTTGAGATAGGTTTGTAAAGTCGTCCAAACTTATTAAACTTAATCACTTACTTGAGACATAACTTGGGTTAGACGACTTCCTGCAGCCGGTAAAGCTGCTGAACATGAGACAACAATGACACCGCTAACGATACGAGCTAACGTTACGTCTCAGTCTATTCTAAATAATATCTGCAGGGATGTACACTCTGCTTCTCGCTCGCTCTCTCTCTCTCTTTTTCTCTTCTTAGCTTGATCCATCACCATCCTCATCCTCTTTTCTTTTCAGAAAATGTGTGCTCAAACAGGCCGTTTGGAGATTTTCCCTTCATGACATCACAAAGGGCAGTAACCCCTCCCCCAGGTGGGTGACACTCCCACAGCTTGGTGTTTGTTCTGCCCTCTGAGTCTGCCTTCTCACCATAAACACGGACATGGGGCGAGAAAGCCAGAGACACCCAAAACCTTCCAGAGAGGGGGCGTGGTCAGACACAGCTCATTTTCATGAGTCATGAGTCATTTAAAGGTACAGACACAGAAACAGCCTGTTCTGAGCAGGGCTGAAATAGAGGGGTTTATAGGCATGATCAAATACAGTATCAGAGTGGATTTAGAACAAGAAACTTCACACACATGTTTTGAGGAGCTCTGAGGCTTATTTACACTGAAGAAGAGGAGGAGAATATGTGACCTTTAAAGTAAATCTTGTATTTTGATGCTGTGTTTATCGTAGAACTGAAGGATTTGATTCTGTCTCCTTTTATATCATGTGACTTGTGAAGGCCGTCGGTGCTGCATGTCAGCGGCCCTCATGCTCTGTATTTTTAGTCTGTCCTTGCATGTGTGTGAAACATGGAGCGGGCTCTGCTGCTCGGTGAAGTGAAGCAGAAGTGAAGCCTTCGTCCGCTCTCTCTGCTGTCAGCATTTGACGTTAAATAAAAATCTTTCAGTTATTTTTAAAGTCAGTGCTGGGTGTCAGAACGTTGCAGGAATGTGTTGGTGTGTAATCTGTCATTATGTGTCTGTTGGGACGATGAGCACAGGAAACTGAAGGTTTTCAGATCTTCATCAGGGGAAGCTGCCAGACTCCATCTACATATTTAATGCAGATGGAATTTGAGGAATCTCCAAAAACGTCTTTGATAGAAGCATGAAGAAGTTATTTAAATTCTGATTTATGTTTGGTTCTTAAAAGACAGATGTCCTGATCAGGAACACGTCTGTCGTACTTTGAAGAATCTTCATCTGCTGACGGTGAATCTCATTCTGTCACCACGTCGAGCTGATTGTATTTAAAGCTGCAGTGATCTATGTTGACCACTAGGGGCTCAAACAACCACAGACGGTAAATATGTATGTTTGAAGCCTGAGGGACGTGCCCCGTTGTTCCTGCAGGGGGCCTGGAGTCCCATCGATGGCGGTCTCCATGCTGGAAATGTTGTCTCAGTCTAACTTTCAGTCAACCTAACGACAGGCTGAGAGCTGGAGCTGAGGCGGGTTTTAAGCCTGATTAAGCTGAGGTTGCCATGGCATGTAGCAGAAAGCGTGATCTTGTCAAAATGTGAACCAGGTCATGGCGAGGGAAAAGAGGTCAACTTGTGATGCCAGAGTTGCAAAGAGAGCTTGAGATACGTCACGTCATTGTTAGCATGTCGCAGGCTATCTTTGTTCTCAAGATCGTGAGATCGCCATCTTTCACCCTCTTTCTCACAGAGTGACGTAGGACTCACCTTTGAGGAGCACAGATACGACCACGAGATCTTTCAGCTGGGACGGGCCTAAGTCATGTGTGTCCCCCGATTAATGCACAGGAAATGAATGTGCAAATCCTCGTGAGTTATGATGTCAGAACTGAATAAAAATCTCTGTATTGTGTGTGTGTGTGTGTGTGTGTGTGTGTGTGTGTGTGTGTGTGTGTGTGTGTGTGTGTGTGTGTGTGTGTGTGTGTGTGTGTGTGTGTGTGTGTGTGTGTGTGTGTGTGTGTGTGTGTGTGTGTGAATGATTCAGAGATGTCAAGTGACCTCATGAATAATTAACAGGACATGCATTCAGCTCTGAATATTTCATGGTGCGTGAAAGTGAGCAGAAGCGTTCAGTGGCATCGTCCAGTCAGAAGGAAGGAAGGTTAGGAAGGAGAGAGAGGGAGAGAGGAAGGGTGGAAATAAAGAAGGAAAGAGGGAAAGTGTTTACAAAGAAAGACTTTTACTTGTATTGTTAGTTTTTCATCTTCCATGTTTGTACTTGAGGAGAGGATCAGACTAAAACTTAGACACAGGTCTGGTCACTGTAAGTTTGATTTCTTTAGCATAATGACCTCGCTGCAGAACACACGAGAAGACGGAAAACAAACGGGTAATAGTCTTCACCTTTTTCCGCTGTTGTATTAATCTCTGGGATTCTGAACTTGTGACCTCAGTATTTAAAAAAATCTGTGGGACTGAAAACAGGAAGTGACAGAAAGTAGTAGAAGAAGAAGGTGGAGCAGATGTGAAAGCTCTGACGAGTGAAGAAACTGAAGTTGTGTGTCAGCAACGAACTGCTGCAGAGAGAAAACAGAAAACAGAGTGTGTGATGGCACATTACACACACACACACACACACACACACACACGCAGAGTCGAGCATGTAAGCGTCAGGATAAGGAGGTGTGAGCAGGTAAGCAGCAGAGACAGTTACACAGCTGCAGGTGTTTGTGTCTGTTTACATCTTAGGTATCTGCCTGCTGAGGTCCATTAAACACACCAGCATTCCCTCTATAAAGACTGTGTGTGTTTGTGTGTGTGTGTGTGTGTGTGTGTGTGTGTGTGTGTGTGTGTGTGTGTGTCTGATGGTGCAGCTCTGCCATCAACTCGTACTTCACATAAGCTCTGAACGTGTCATCTCCGTGTGTCAGTCATACTGCAGCTCACAGAGAAGGCGGGGAACTCTGCTCAGATCAGTTTGGATTAAACGTCACATTAAGATTCTGTTAAGTTCATCTTCAGAACTCATCCAATCATCATGAGGTTCTCTTTAGTCTCCTTGGAGTGAGGAGACGATGGAGCCCTTTGGTTTGAGGGTCAAAGCCTCGGGTCGTCATTAGCCTGGTGGGATAGTTCAGGTCTTGTGCCCTTTTGTCTCCATAGATTGGGGGTGTTCAGTGGTGGCAGCTGAGGCGGCAGAGGGAGGGACGGTGTCTCCTATCACAAGGCGTCCTTAATTATGATCTCAGAGGATGTTGGTGGAGACAGAGCCAAGTGTTCTTCTTCTGTCAAAAACAAGATGGCAACCACCAAAATGGCAAACACAAGACTTAAAAACATTTAACCGGCCGGGCTCTACCTGTTTGATACCACGGCAACAAAACTAGAAGTCCTGGACCTTCGATATCAGATCATTTCTTAATTTGAATGTGAAGCAAACATTTCTGAACTGAAGATGCGGACTGTCCTAATTTGTGCAGTTTATGCAGAGCACTCTCTCTCTCTCTCCCCTCTCTCTCTCCCCTCTCTCCCCTCTCTCTCTCCTCTCTCTCCCCCCTCTCTCTCTCTCTCCCCCTCTCTCTCTCCCCCTCTCTCTCTCCCTCCTCTCTCTCTCTCTCTCTCTCTCTCCCCTCTCTCTCTCCTCTCTCTCTCTCTCTCCCTCCTCTCTCTCTCTCTCTCTCACTCCCCTCTCTCTCTCCCACCTCTCTCTCTCCCCCTCTCTCTCCCTCCTCTCTCTCTCTCTCTCTCCCCCTCTCTCTCTCCCTCCTCTCTCTCTCTCTCTCTCCCTCTCTCTCTCCCTCTCAATTCAATTCAATCCAAATGGCTTTATTGGCATGACGTTTGGGTTAAACATGTTGCCAAAGCAAAATATACAATACACATAATAATTTTACATTTATATATGAAATTAAATAATGAAGAAAAATACAATTACATAAAAAAGTAATGAAAATGATGTACAGATGAGTTAACACGTCTTATATTTTAATCATTAAAATGTGTGTGTGTCTTAAAGTCACGTCAAGCTCAGTTGTGCGTGTGTGTTCTTCTGTTTCTGTGAGGACTCAGTTGTGTGTTTGTCACACATTCAGACGGTGTGTATGCCTGCAGCGACAACAAACATGTTTACATCTGCAGCTCTCCTCCACTCATTACATTTATAAATAAACCTCCTGCAGGAAGAGAAGAGCGAAGATTATCAGGATCAGAGGATCATTGATCAGTGATTGATTGATCATGTCTCGTGCATAAGATCGTGTTTGGAGCTTGGATGGTTCCTGGTGTGGTTGATCACGTGCAGAGCACGCACTCTGCACACGCTCATCTTCCTGCGGGCTGATGCTGCCTTTTGGAACTTGATCTCTACGTCTTTGAAGGTTAAATAAAGACAATGGTAGAAAGATTTTGTTGAGATTTGGATGTAAATCAGCACATTTCTCCCCCCGTGTGTCTGCAGCCCTGCATGACCCCACGCTGCAGGAATAATAATCAGTGTGGACGCAGCTGATTCTGCGCCTGTCAGGCAGAAATGAGGGATTCATTCTGAGCCACGAGCCTGTCAGTTTGACGCTCTGATGTTTTTCATGTGGCTTGCACAGGGCGGAGACTGCTCAGTCTCTCTGGGCGGAGACTGAGCCAGACGCACAGTTCACCTCAATGTGTGTGTGTGTGTGTGTGTTTCAAAGATTAGAACCTGCTCCTCACAGTTGTGTTGGTGTGTGTGTGAGGGTTTTCAGAAGGTTTCTGTTGGAACTTGATCCGGATCACTTTTCTTCTTAATTAGCTCAAGATGTTTCTGTTCATCATCTGTGATTCATTCCTCTCGGCGGTTTCTCCTCAACCTTCTCCTCTTTGTTCCCGCTGCAGGTGGGCTGTGATGGTGTGACTCTGACTGGATGAGACCCCGTCTGTTCATCCACCCCTTCATCCATCCGTCCATCGCTCCGTCAGCTGGAGGAGAGATCTGATGAGAGGAGAGCAGAGGGAGGAGAGAAGAGACGACCTGAGATGGCCAGCGGTGAGAAACTGAAGCGCAATCCTCCAGAGCGGCGAGCCTGCAGCATATGTTACTGTCTCTGATGAGTGTGTGTGTGTGTGTGTGTGTGTGTGTGTGTGTGTGTGTGTGTGTGTGTGTGTGCAGCAGCTGACAGTGTAGGCAGTCTCGGAGCTGAGCAGAACCACCTGAGCGTCCCGGTCTCGGATCATGGAGCCTGGGCGACGGCCATGAACAACCTGGGCATCATGCCGATGGGAATCAGCAGGCAGCCGCTGGTTTCAGGTAGAAGCTTCTTCTTCATTTATTTTCTTTTCATTTTCTTTTTCTCCTTTATCTCTCCTTAATCTCCTCGTTGAGCTTTCTTTTCCTTCTCCTTCTCCTCTTCTGTTTTTGTCTTCCTCATCTTTACGCCCATCAACCTGCAGAGACCAGTAATCTACGGTGGCCCTTAGGGTTCAACACGATACTTTTACCCGAGCGTTGAACTTTACTTACCCCACTTTGAACCTTTATTAATCATCATAGCAACATTTTCAATCCCATGAGACATTTACACATTTACGCACAACGCTGCAGGGCTGTGGCTTACGTAGAGGCTTGAAGCCGTCTGGTGAAATTCTTGGTTTCATATCGGGGGAACTGTGACATGTTTACAGAACAAGCTGTTTAGCGCCCTCTGCAGACTCATCCTGGGATTACTCCAACAAACGTTTACCTCATGATCTGAAACTTTAATGTTTTTAATCAGGTGTCAGCTTCACCTCTTATCAGCTTCATCCTTTAACTTCTTTTCACTGCTGTCTGACATCATCCCGCTTCAGTTCATGACCTTACCCTCAGTCATGTCAAGGGGTGTGATGGAGTTGTGACGCAGGGAATTCGGTTCAGAGCACCTTTTTTTCGTTAAAATATTCATATTCATAAAATATTCATATTTTAACTCCTGTGATTCAATAATTGTATCACACGCGTCAGGACGGCGATAAGGAGGGAGAGTAAGCAGAGGACTGATCTCAAGTCATACTGTGCTAATGCTAAAGTTTCTGTGTGTGTGTGTGTGTGTGTGTGTGTGTGTGTGTGCGTGCGTGTGCGTGCGTGCGTGCGTGCGTGCGTGCGTATCACTAACCATCACAGCAGCTCAGCTCAAAGGACATTAGGTTTCATGCATATTCAAAGAATCTTGAAGAGTTAGAGACACTTCAGGCGCTCAGAGAGACACGCTAACAGCTGCTTAAAAAATCAAGTGTGTCTGTGTGTGTGTATGTGTGTGTGTGTCTGTGTGTGTGTGTGTGTGTGTATGTGTGTGTGTGTGTGTGTGTCTGATACTAATGCAAGTAAACACTGACTCATTTTGTTTTTAAATTTCCTCGAGTTGAAAAGCTAAACTATCCCAGACTCCCGATGCTCCGTCACATTGGATGTGATACTTCATTTGTGGTGACGCACAGCTGGTTCATGGATACATAGACATACAGGTGAACACATAACACAAGGAGAAACACATAAACAGTTACCATAGCAACCCATGTAACAGTCAGTGTGGCAGTTTGTTAAGCGCTTCAGTAGCCGAGGGGACGAGAGGTTGAAGAGTTTTGAAATGCATTTTAATGATGAAACATTTTATAAGCAGGTTAATGACTCATCGGCCCCGTGTCCACCTGACGTTTGTTTTCTGAGCGCCAGCGTCTTTATCAATTGTTTTCAATGAGGAGAGAGCGTTCGCAGCTAAAGCGGCTGCCTGGAGAAAAGGCGCCGTGCCCAGCCTTTTTCTGAGCGTTCTACCTTTTTTGTGCGGCCACTCCAAGCGCCCAAATTCAAAATATTTTAACTTTTCAGAAAGGCGCTGTTGACATCACCGGCGCTCTTTTCCAAATGTTTGATATTCCCCGTTTTCCTAGTTTTTCCTCATACAGATTGTGTCTTGTCCCCACATCCTCCTCGCTCCGTGTCTGATCGTGAAATAAACGATCTCTAATATAAAACATGCAGTAAAAAGTAACGGAGCAGTGTCGCTCACACAGCAGACGTTGTCAACAGACTGTTGTCATAGAGACAGGACAGACATGCAGCGCTTTTCTTCTCCGCGCACAAACGCTTCATGCAAACGCTCCCGAGCGCACAGCCAGCGCGATACTGCCCAGAAGAAATGCCAGGTGGACACGGGCCTGATGTGACACTTTTCATCCTTCACTCAGATTCAGGTGAAAAAGTGAAAATGTTCCTGGATGAGGATGGAAACTCACACACGTCAGATATTCATGATCTAAAGGTTTCCACATGTAGTTAAAACAGGGTGGAGATGTGATGCCGTCATTTTTTAAACAACATGTCATCATTTGGATTTTCCCTCTGAGCTCCGTGTGCTGCTGTCTGTCTCTCCGCTCGCCGCTCAGTTAAATCCACACATTCAATTATTCTGAGCTTAACACACAAAAAACTCCACAAATCTCCCGGCGTTCATTTCATAAACCTGCACAATGCAGCACTTCTTATTCCATCAGAGCCCCCCCCAGAGCCCACCAAGAGCCCCCCCCAGAGCCCACCCGGGGTCTTTATACAGAGAGAGACGCTCCCACAAATCCCCCACCCCGCCTCACTAAAACAATCCTACAAACACATGCAAGGTGAAACACTGACGCAAACCTGTAGGGCTTAGTGTACTTAAGTACAAGGGGGGGGGGGGAATTGACTGGAATTGAACCAATAAAGGTTCAAGTTGATAACCCGCCGTGCACATGCATCCGCAAACATGACTAAAAGCACTGTAGTACACATACCAGGTCAGTAGGTGGCTCTCTCCCCCCCTCTCTCTCCCTCTCTCTCTCCCCCCTCTCTCTCCCTCTCTCTCTCCCCCTCTCTCTCTCTCTCCCTCTCTCCCCCTCTCTCCCTCTCTCTCTCCCTCTCTCTCTCCCCCCTCTCTCTCTCTCCCTCTCTCTCACTCTCCCTCTCTCCCCCCTCTCTCCCTCTCTCTCTCCCTCTCTCTCACTCTCCCTCTCCCTCTCCCTCTCCCTCCCTCCCCCCCCTCTTTCTCTTTGCTCTATGTTTAATTTTTCTCCTCCCTCAGTGTGTTTTTCCTCTCTTTTCTTCTTTTCACCGTCGAGAAATGAGGCGGGCTCGCCTCCTTTTGGCTCTGTGAGTAAAAAGCGGCGTGCTTCTGATTGTGATGAATGTGCGACACACAGAGGTGTAATTCACCTGTGCAGGTTATCTCAGACAACACTTAAATGAGTTTTCCTAAGACCTGAGGAGTCTGTGAATTCACCGTGGCTGCACACGCTCAGATTTATGGAAGATTATCACTCTGAGTGTTTTTCTTTTTCTTCTAATACGACTGAGGATCTTTAATACAGAGAGTGAACAGGAGAGAGAGAGGAAGTGTTTTACTGCTCTGCACTCAAGCAGCAACATGCAGTGTTTGAAATATTAAGCCAATTCTGAAGTGTAAAACCCTGCAGTTCTTCGAGTGTCCACTAGAGGCTGGCTGCAGAAGCACAGGAAGTCACATACACACCCATTCTAAAAAGCCTGTTTTTACAGCAGAGATTAACATGTTTACAGCCTGGTTCAAAAACCCAAATAGGTCTGATTAGCTCATGTCTCGATCGGTACACACTGTATGGAGGGTGAATGTTTTGATGACTCATCCGTTTTGATTTGATGAAGGATAAGAGTTATTCACAATAAGGCGTGTAGCTGACCTGATTGACAGGTGGGCGCGGTGTAACGGTTTGTCAAGAGGCTTAAAAACCGCCTCAGCTCCAGCTTTCAGCCTGTCGTTAGGTTGACTGAAAGTTAGGGTGAGACAGTATTTCCAGCATGGAGACCGCCATCGATGGGACTCCAGCGCCCCCTGCAGGAACAGACGAGTGAAGCTTCTGCAAGAGATATCTTTGATTAAACAAAAACTGTTTTCTTCTTCTGTTTCTTCTTCTTCTCTTTATTTGGAGCATGCTACACTTCCTGTTTGCTGACAACAGTTTCAGCTGTGGGACTGTGATGAATGTGTGGTCGTCTCAGTCCTGCAGGCCGAGCAGCAGAAACATTTATTTCTGTGAGTTTTCTGTAGGAGACGTGTGTCCTCTCTCGGTTGTGACAGCCTCCCTCTCCTCTCATTTAAATCACTTCATCCTCGCTGCTGTTGTGGCTGCGTGGGGGACATGGGGGGGTTTGTGCTGACGTTTGGTTCCTCCCGCTCTCTTGTTATTGCAGTGTTGTAGATAGGAACACGCGACTCTGCTCCGCCCTCCGCCTCCACCCTGCCTGCTCTATTTTCACCCAGACAGCTGAAACATGGCTCCTGTCGCCTCTTTATCTTCTCTCCTCTTCTTCACTTTCTCTCCGTCCTGAACACACATTTCTCTCTCCTCTCTCCCCTCCCCTCCTGTCCTCGCTGCTTCTCCTCTTTCCTCTCACACACTCAGGAGGCGTTTTTGTTGTTGTCTGTCCCTGCAGATCTCGTCTCCAGTTTTTATCTTCTCTGATCTCTTTCTCACAGATAACAGTGTTTTATTTCCCTCCTCTGCAGCAGGTTCTCTTTCCTCGTCCTCTGTTGCAGCTTTTTCTGTATTTTGATTAAAGCCAACACTACTCATCATTTTCTTACTTTTAATAAAACAGCCAGATCTGTTTGGATGCAGCTGGCCCTGCTTCTCCTCTGCTCTGAATGATTGTCAGATCAGATAAATTTAAATATTGATTGATGTGTGTTGATTCATCAGCTGTCTATTCTTTACCTGTGTCTCTGTCCTGCAGAGTCTCTGTGCATCCAGAGGTTCGAGCCCGGCCTCGGTCTCCTCACTCCCATCAACCCCATGATGGCGGGAATCAGCCTGGTCCCGCCCCCTCCCATCCCCCCTGACATGCCCGTCATCAAAGAGATCATCCACTGCAAGAGCTGCACGCTGTTCCCCCAGAACCCCAGTAAGACCCGAGATCATTCATCAGCAACATCGCATCATTGTCATACTCCCTCATTCAAACATTCAGCCAGGAAACATGATGGTGATGTCATTGTCCTTCAGGCCTGCCCCCTCCGTCCACCCGGGAGCGCCCCCCCGGCTGTAAGACGGTGTTTGTCGGAGGTCTGCCGGAGAATGCCACAGAGGAGATCGTCAGGGAGGTGTTTGATCAGTGCGGAGAGATCACCGCCATCCGAAAGAGCAAGAAGAACTTCTGTCACATCCGCTACAGCGAGGAGTTCATGGTGGACAAAGCCATCTACCTGTCAGGTGAGTCACACAGCATGATCGTCTGCCCTCGCAGCGTGGTGTTAGGTCGACTGAAAGTTAGGCTGAGACACAGAGAACGGCATGGATGGGACTCCAGCGTCCCTGCAGGAACAGATGGGTGACGTCCCTCAGGATTCATCTTTACAGTCTGTGTTTAAAACTTGCAGGAGGCGAGTAATACTCACCTCAGCCTCTAGTG